GCGTCGTAGCGGGGATGATGATGTTCGTTGTTGTTGGATGACCGCGTGCGGGATCGTCTCGCAGCTGCTGCGTCGACAATGTCGGCGCTCTTGAGACGCTTTTCCAGGTCGGACTCGCGACGGAGTTCGTCAGCGAATAGGTCGCCGCGGTTCCCGTCGCGTGACACGGCCTCGTCGCGGCGACGACGGAGTTCCCGGATTTGAGCCTCGCCGCGGATGTCGGACAGTGACAGGGATGACGCGTCGTTGAGCCTGTTATTGTTGTAGGCGAGTGCTGCTGACGCGTTGTTGTTGTTGTTGTTGGAGCCGCTGGCCATGCGGCGTGCTTCGCGGGATGCCCGGCGGCGACGGGCTTCGCTGTTGTCGATTATGTCGTTCGTGTCCTTGCTCTGTCTTCTTTCCAAATTTTTCTGTCACAGAACAACAAATAAAGATGAAGATTTTTCTGGAATTGGCTATGTTCGAAATGAATAAAAAAAGGCGAGCTTCCTGTAATTCAGAGTTCTCGAGAGTTCATTTGCCAGGCTGAGCTATCAGAGAAGTTGGAATCGTGCGACTCTTTGCAAAAAATTGATAATCACGATTTTTCAAGTGGCATTTCATTCAAATACTATCCTTTTAATTTCAATTTTAATCGTGAACTGAAATTTTGGTAAATTAGGCATTTTGGCTGCGGTTTTGTGAAAGCTCCATCACGAAAAGAATATAAAAGTCAATTATGATAATTCAACGAATACGGGTACTGTACTGTATATCATTCAATAGCACCGCTTTAATATGAATTCTAAACGCAATGTACTGTATACGAGTACTGTGCAATTTTGTAAAATTCTCGGTTTTTTGAGAGCTTCGGAAACAGAAAATTAAAGACATTTAGGATTATTTAAAATTTTTTTGCTTCGATAATATCGCTTTAAATTGATATTTGAACACGATGTAATTTGTTTTAAATTTGGCTTATTTCGCTTTCGTAACAGCTTCGCAAATATAATATTGAAGAAAAATATATTTTTGCCGGGGTCTATCATTAAATTTTATTGCATCAATTCAAAATTGAAATGCGATCTAAAATGTTGTAAAGTTTAGCTTTTTTTTTGTGAAAGCTCCGCGAAAAGAATAACAAAGATAATCATGTTCCAAGAAATGCTGTACTGAAGAAATATGCCTAATGGATTTAATATACCAGAGAAATATCGAATTTCAATAAATATACAGTATTCGCACAATAATAATGTTTACTTTTTTAAACGTTGTATACATTTTTGTAAAATTGCGGTTCTTGCAGTTTCGTGAAAACTCCGCAAATAGAGCATTAAACAGCTTGTAAGGTGCAGAATTGCAGCCATGATTGAAACATTGCGCTAATCCATTTATGATTTAACCGGTGAATATTTGCCATCTTCTGGATTATTATTTATTGTTGAACTTACTTGCTGTTGCTGTTGTTGTTGTTGTTGTTGCAAAGCACTTTCCAGTCTTGCCCCAGACTGCTCCAACCGATTTCTGTAAAAGGCGTCTTGTGCATAATCATGACGATTTGTGCGATTCGTGTCTCGCTGCTTCGGGGAATTCAAAACTCCGATTCCTGTTCCTCCGTCTGTGGACGACCTTTTTCTCCCTACTCTTGCGTGCTGCTGCTCTTCTGTGAAAAACCATTTCAATTGTTTGGTTTCGTTTTCTTTTGTCTACAGTCGAGCCAATTCGATTTTGAGCACATTTAAAAAAAAAAGCCCGAATATGTTTTCAAGGTACAGCATTTACATACTTCAAATGCTAGCGCTAATTCTGACGCGCTGAACCGTACAAATGATGCCATCATAGGACTTTTGCAAAACGTCGTGCAGAGCGAATATTTGCTAGATTTTCACGCGCTATTTCTCCAACGGAACAATCTGGGAAGTTTTGACGATTTTAAAGAAAAACTTCGGTAAAAATAAGATTACAAATTGACAAAAATAGCGGAATTTCCATCCCAACAATTATATGAAAAATATTGGGCGCCTTGAAAAATTAAAGGCGCCATCAATTATTTTCTTTTTCCGAGCAAAAGTTATTTTTTTGTGGCTGAAATACTTTCCTGTACATTGAAGAAAAATAATGTCGTTTTCAGCACAAGAAAGATCGTTCTTCAGCATTAAGAGAATGTTGGGGAAAATGTTGGCATCGCAAGCATCATATCATCAGGAACACGATTCTCGGAATTGCCATAAAAATACGAACTGTACCAAATATTAGCTGGTCTTCGCAGTTTTTTTTTTAAGGTGAAATTTACGATTTAGTTTTCGAAGCGTCGAAAAACTCTTTTAATTGTCGAATTGACAGGATTTCTTTATTCATATTGTTCATCTGCCGAAATATCACAAATATTTATTATGTTCATAACATTTCCGGGGTATTTTAGCTATCATGTGGTCTCTTGAATATAGCGTGAATCACCGTGCACGTCTACAATAACGTCCAGTACAACGAAAACCAGACACAAAAAAATACTAATGTCGGTAATCACACTAATTGTGATTACCTTCCGACGGCTGTTGCAACTTCCTACGAAGTGGGGATTCGGAATCAGACCCGAGATACCAATCGTTTCTTCGTGATCCACCTTGATAGCTCGAATCACGACGCGTCCGACGATGATTTTCCGGAGAAAACGAGTCCTTGGCACTGCTGCCACGTTTCCTGTCGTCAAACGACGCTTGTTGTTGCTGCATGTAGTCATTGTTTTTCGCCATTCTCGCGTCGTTCGGGTCGCTGTTGTGGCGCCGCTTCTCGGATCTGTCGCCATCTGGCTCCACCGAGTTGGACCACGACCTTTGATATTTTACAATCAAAACGATATAATCGCGAAAAATCTTTCGTATTTCTCATAAAGCAAGATCCAGGAAGTGATCAAGACACGAATCGGCGTCAGGAACGTGAACCCAAATAAGGCAAGTCGGGGAATAAACACGAACGAAAAAAAGATGCGCGATTAAGGTACGTGGAATAATGAAGCATAGTTTTATGACGGTGAGATTAACTGGAAAAAAATTAAACAGGATTTCTTTTTTACTCAATGAAATCGAAGCCCGATCAAAAAATCTCTCTTTAAAAAAATCAATTTTACGAGAAACTGGTACAGAAAAGTTATGGTGTGTGCTTTTTCTCTGTCAATTCACTGAAAATATTCTTGAAATTAAAAGATGAAAAATTTGCAGACAACCCTGACGTGTTATTCCATGATTAGCGGATAGAAGGCATGGTTTTCTGATGATAAATGATTTAATAGGATGCAAAACATTAGGACTTACCTAATGAAAATCCCACGTTACCCAGAAATTTCGGAAATTTTCTCATCTTTGAGCTTTGTACTTTTTTGTTGATCGAATCATCGACAGTGAAACGATGCGCATGTGTTGGATGAACACTAAATGACCTGCTTGTCAACATTTTAAATAATATAATACGAGAATATCTTTATACATATCAAAAATATGCAGCTGCGTGGATCTCAGTCAAATTTTTGGCCCGCCCGCTACTCTTTTACTCGTTCGTTCAGGGATTTAATTTTGAAAAGTATTCCAGCGTCTCTGAATCAAGGAGTGATTGAAAAGCGATCAATGATTTCTTTCGACTCACCTGTCGTAATTCATGCTTCTGTCCAAAGGTCCGAATTTGACATTTTCAAATCCCACCGTACTATTTCTTCTCAATTCTGCTCTTGCACTCGCACTGCTTCTACGTCTCGCAATCCCTTCAATGGCTGCGATGCTGTTTCTTCTCGACAATTGCTGTCCTTGCATCAACGCATTTTCACCAGGAGGGTACATTGACATGACGCTCTGACTGTTTCGAGTCAAGTGCGTGTGATGGAAACTGTCGTCTTCGTCAAGCCTTCCGAGGCTGCTCTTGTGGCGAAGTTTGCTGGCCTTTCCATAGAAAAAAAAATCATTATTATCGCCGAATATGCGGGAAACTTGAATAAAAAGCCGAAGTCTGACGTAGTGACGCGGACGCTTTGCGAAAATACGACGTTAAGCTGCTGCTTTTCACTGCTGAAAACTAATTCAATATCGTGCTCATTTTTGTTATCAAGAGAGCGCAAGCGATGGCGAAAAAGCGGTTTTTCTTTTTCTCGATGACATACAATTTTGCAGGTAAAACCAATCGCTTCAATGTTTTTGATTTGTAGGTTCTACGATAAAATTGGACAGAAGCTTTGTGAGGTGCATTTAGTTCAAGTCACACCTGTGTTGAAGAAGAACGTGTTATCCGTGTATGATTTGTACCCGAAGATATTTTCCAAATTTTGCAATCAATTCTAAATCATCTTGGAGCGCTGGCTGAATAAATGCATCGTGATTTAAATTGAAATTTATAATTTTTTGGCGTTGTGAATTTCTGTCAAAAAAGGACGAAATGAAAGAATTCATGCATTTTTATGTACTGCGATGCATCATTTTTTCTTTTTAGATGTTATTCTTATTTTTGAAGGGTGCTTGTCATGAGTGCTTATTGTCATGGGATGGGGGGGAGGGGGGTCGGTTCGAAATATTTTGAAAGTTGTGAATGTTGACATTGACAATCAGTGGCAAATAAAGCATAATTATCAATCAATCAAGGGAAACGTGTAGAAGTTCGAACATATTCGTAAAATTAATAGGGGAATAAGATTTCGACAAATTTTTCCACATTAATCCAATCATGAAAAATAATTTTTTCTTCGGCATTTATTCTGGTTTGAAAATAATGAACGTTATTCTTCAAATCACGCGCTGGCTTGCCAGAAAAAAAGCCTATCGTCATCATTTCTCGGATTATTAATTTTGTTTGTGAAATGACGAATACCGTAGTTACACATCAGGGAACACAGCAGTTCTGAGGTCTCACTTTGTTATGAACATAGCCGACAAAAGGAGACGCTGGGGGATCTAATTTTGTCGTGTTGATATCTTCGATTCCGATCCTGCTTTCGGATTCCTCCTCCAAGGCGCCCATTTGCTTTCCGACGCTGTTCGACCGACGACGGCCATCTTTCGTCATTCGGCCATCTCTCATTTCCAGCTCTAGAGCGCTCATAGTTTCTTCAGCAATCGGTGTATGAATCTTTCGACGTCTCCTTCCATTTTCGTCCACGCCGTCTTGATTTTGCTGATGTTCCATAAACCTGTTTCATCGGAGAAAATGAATGCTTCAACAATTTTCGTCGGCCTAATTTTCTAAGATTAAAATCCATGGCATTCAAAGGTACTTCACACTTTCTCTTAGGACTTTGATGGTATGTCTTCATTGAAATCCGAAGCGGTTTTTTTTTTTTAAAAGTCATATGGGCAAAAATTATCATTTCTTTGAACTGTTTCTGCTCTCAATGTCTCTCTAACAGAATTTTAATTCGTTAGTAAAACGTGGAACTTTCATTTCCTGGTTTGTAAAAAGCCGAAAAAAATCTGCTATGAGAAAAAAAATATTTGCAATAAAAGAACAAAGAAAAGGGTTTTATATTTCAGAATATCTCGACGAATTTTCTTGAGTCAAAATCCCTCTCCTGAAATTCAGCATGTTTCTTTCGCATCTCTTCGGAATTATTGGTACTCGAAGCATTCAAAGTGTACTGAACTTAAAAATACCACTTCTTGGTATAAAAGTACAGCATTAATTTCCTTTCGACTAACAAAAACACTTCATATTGCAGTTTACAAGATGAGTGAATCAAGTTTCTTTTTCCGTCCGTAGATGACGCGCCAAGCATAACTTTCGCGACGAAACCGTCACCTAATCTCAATGCGAATATACAGTACTGTAATATACTGTACATTCCGTAATTGCTCGAGTGCCAAGTGTACCCTTTTTCTCCAACATTGTGTGGTGAAAATGGGTTGCACGTCATAGACAGGGATACATTCAAGAAAAGTTTCAGAAGCTTAGAACTTCTATGTGTATATTCGATTCTGATGGGAAATTTTGAAATAATTTTCATCAGAAAAACCGATTTTTGTGCGAAAAAAATTGAACATTAATTGAATGAAGGCTTCATGCTTGTCTAAATTCAAACTTGGATGTTCTTATAATCTTATTCCTGAAATATTGCAGTTTTAGAGGCACTACGTCTTACTCAAAGGGTGCAGATACATCCGAGTAAATTCGATAAATACACATGGGTTTCGACATGTGAAAATCGAAAACTTTCTTTAATTATAACGACATCAATAGAATTTCCTGTACCAGCTCAAGAAGGATAAAAAAAGTCATGAATGATGGAGTTCATATATATCCAACTCACCGGTTCATGATCATTTCCTTGCCGATCCGCTCGTCCAAACCGGAAGCAAGTTGATTCCGTTGATACTCTTCCAGTGGAACGATTAATTGACTATCACTACCTGATCTGGCTTGACGCCAGTTCCCTTGACGTTCGTCATTGTTGTACGGCAAAGAATGGTATCCTTCTCTGTCGTCAGCGTGGAACCCGTCGGATTCTCGACGTCCCCGTTTCGGCGTGACGAGTGTGAGGATCTGGCTGTTGCCGATTTGGGAGAATCTGTGTCGACGACCTGATTCGGGGTCAATGAAAAATGCCTCGTGTTGTTGTCTGTACTGGTCATCTTCGTACACGTTCACGTGGCTTCCGCGCTCGTATTCGTATTGTCGAAAGGTTTCTGTGCCTGGAAGCGGTTTTAATTCATGCTTATAGTTGACCAAAAAATGAAAGATTTGTGCAAAAATTACAGATATTCTTTCCGAAATCCAAAAAAAAAAGCGATGGTTAAATAATTCTTGATAAAAATATTTTCTTGAATAAAATGTGCCCAAACTATATACGTACCGTGTTTTCAGAAACCTGAGACCAATTTCATTTAAATTTTTCATTGCAAAAATTGACCGATGCCTTTTTGCCAGGTTATGTATTTTTTGATACAGAGAATATATTTTAAATCGCAACTTTCAATAGGTGCGATGAAATTGTAGAAAGTGGGAAGGATGGGTTTGTGGAATCCGAACGGCAGAAACAAATCAATGGCAAAATCATTCGAGTAAGAGTACGGCAAGGTTATCAAAAATGCAATGTTAAAATCATGCGTAATTAAGGCCAGGGAAAAGTAAATTTTAAAATTTTGAGTAAGGTCAGCATCCACTGTAGAGCCGATGAAAATTGGAGGGCCTTCGAAAATATTTCTGGCCGACACGATACCGAATCAATTTCCATTTTCAAAACATGGGGGTTGAAACCGATCGAAATTAATTTTCAAGAAAGATACTGTATATAGAGCTTAACGAATAAAACGAACTTCTGGCTGGACATTGAAAAAAGCATTCAGCAACTTTTCCCATCGACATTGCCCACGAAAAAAACTTGATTGAAAAAAAATATCTCACTTTGAATGTATTTTTCAGTGCACGAGTTTTTGCAGAGTGAAACATTAAGTTTTATTGAATTTTCAAATGAATAAAAAAGAATGATTTTGAAACATACTCGCTGAGAAAAAAATTATTGAGAATTCCTCTATGAAGAAAAAAAATCACGGGATATTTTAGTTTGGCGGGTTCTGGGAAATTTCGCGGACTTCCCTCACCACAGCTGCCATATTAATAAAAAAAACAACTGGAAAAACACTTGAATTGTGTTCAAGATTTATACTTTGAAAATTAACTGTCGCGAATGCATGATCAAGGAAATAAGTGACAAACTTGAAAGGTAACAGAAATCCAAAACCTTCCAAGCAGCAGATTATACGAATAAAAGATAATTTCAGCATTAGAAAAAATGAAAACAAACCTGCTTCATCTTCGATGTCTTCCAACATGTATTGCTCTCCTTCACGCAACGTTTCAGGCCCCCGGACCATTCCATCAGCGTCTCTGACGATGAAAAACCGTCTTCCATTGCTCTTGCCAGGAATCAAAGAGCTCTGCTGTTGCTGGTTGCCTGCGGCTCTTTGATACCTTCGCTCCCTTGCTGGCAAAGAATCTCCACCGCCGTGTGTTGGAGACCAGATCCCGACGCGACCTCGACCTTCAAGCACACATTTTCACACACCCAGAAAAGAAGACGAAAAGAAAAACGCTGCTGAGATTCTAAAAAGATGGACTATTACACTAAATTTCATTGCGAGTCACCCAGCAACTGAAATATATATATGAAAGAATTCCAGCAAATGCTCTTCGCAAGGCAGTAAAAAACTCTGCAGTGCTCCGAAACAATTGAAGCGACGTTTGTCTCTTCAACTGCAAGAAAGGATGCTGCTACTGGAACTGAAAAATGAAAGGAAATTACGCTACTATTTATTTCCATTACTTGAAAAGTTTTTGTTTTAATTTATTGCATTAATCTGACAAAATTTTCAAAATTAACGTCCACTACAGCATGCGGCTAAAAGAAGCGTGGTTTGTGTATTTCCTACCAACTCATGAAGCAAACACTCAGCACAACTGATCGAGAGAATTTTATTAATGGTCGATTCGACAGTGACTACAAGTCAAATTGTGTGAGAAAAAGTGTATACTGTATAATGTGGAAACTATGTTCTACAGGGTGGTTCACGCGCTACTATCAGACTCGCAAAAGTAATTATATTTCGGAAAATTGTGTACATATCATCACAAAATTCGTATTTATCAGAAATGCATATATTCAAAAAAGGGAATGTTAAACTGCTGCTCGACGTCGATTTATCTGTCCGTAATAATTTTTTATTGAGACTTTTAGCTCTTCCTAAGAGAATAGAGGAATATGTTTAGCCTTCTCAAGAATTACATAATTTGAATTTGAAATTGTATGCATTAAGTTGGAAAATATCAGCATCTCTTGGAAGAGAAGGATTCCTGTCCCTCCGTTGTCTGTTAGATTAATTGTACATAAACGTGCAAAAAGTCGTATAATTTCACAGAGGAGAATGAGTCGTTTTTCCGGGACAGCATCAGGATTTCATTCTTTATACTTTGCTCTAAGGCTGTCCCGCTTTAATTTGAAAAATATTTAACCAAGCATCCACATCAGCTCATACTTTTGCGGGTCTGTATACCGTATTTATATTCGAGAACCACGTGCACCTTTTTTCTAAATTTCGAGAGAAGTAAAGGTATAGACGGGTACATTTTTCCTCAAAAATTTGTAGGAATTCAGGTGATCATTATACTTGTTTCAAACAGAAAATATTGGACCAAGTTCAACAGAATATTTATATTTGAGAAAAACGCACACCTTTTTCTAAAATTTGAGAGGAGAAGCGGTATAGACGGCTAAAAATTTTTTTCAAAAATTTCCAGGAATTTAGGTGAGCTGCTGTACACTTGATTCAAAACGGGAAATATTAGACCAAGTTTAACAGAAAAAAAGTTATTTCGAAGGGAAAATTTGAAAATAAGCAGGATTCAGGTTCATAATTCATGTGATGTCTATTAAATTCCATATTGCAAGTCTTATATTCGGGGATAACATTTTATCCTAATTTCTAACTGGAAAACCTTCACAGGTGCGCTTCCTCGTACTTGAAGGCGCGTGATATGGTACTCGAGTAAATACGGTACGTTAGTAGAGCAGCGCGTGCATTCCACTGCATGTATACAGTATACTACAAAACAAATTCGGTTGGTGGAAACGACATGAACAAGCTGGGATATACGATGAATATAGTCGAAAATAAAATAAAAAGAACAGATATACGTAGATACGATGAGTGTGTTTTCGGGTGCCTTATTCGAGCTCGATTTCGTCTACACGGGTTCCCTGGGCGATCCGCTTACCGGGAGAAGATCTACCTATCGGGCGCTGATAAGTGCCTGGAGAAAACACTTGCTGGATTCTCTGCCGCAAATTCAGGGCTTCACCGTTGCTATTATTGTTGCTCTCTTCGTCCTTCAACAGCATGGCCTTCTCGTTCTCCTTCATTTTGCTGCGAAGAAATGCAATGACGAAAATCAAGTTCTTGTATTAATCATTTTGACGAAACATCAATGACTCACTTGCGCTTGTTGATCAGCCAGATAATCAGCAGGATGATGATGAACAGAAGGATAACTGTCAGTGCGATGATGATCGCCAGAAGGTCTGTGTTGGCTGCTCGAAGTTCTCTCACTTCCTGCTCAGCAATAAACAGAAAACAAAAAAATTAAAATACTATTTCAAGTTTTGAAATATCCCATCTAGGTTTAACCAAAAATCGTGATTAAAAAGCAGGTGTGTCTCGAAGCGAAAATGTAAAAAATAAATAAAAGACCTTTTTTAGCTTTGAAATGTCACGCTGAAGTTCCAGCATCCAAAATCGTGATCAAAAATCAAGAGTGTCTCGAAGCGCGAAGTAAAAAATAATGTCTATGTACAGTCGCAAAACGTTCGAAACGAAAACAGCACCATTACGGAACGGTGAGCATAAAAAAAAGTATTTATCTAGGACGGAGACGTATTTTGGTTTGTGAAGGGTATAGTCCTTGTTTAAAGGCTTTTTTCTAGATAGAGTAAAATATCGTCATAGAAAGAACAAATGAAATGCGAATCATCTACGAGTATATATAGATTCCTTGAAATACTGTATGAGAAAATTTGCTAGTGTGGTGAGCTTCACTCTTGTTCTACGTAATCATACACTGTTTTTAGGCACACGTTCTTAATAGCCAATACCAAGTATTCGAATATATATCAATCAAAACGTATACCGATTTTATAATTTAGATCAAAATTATGGGAAATAGTTAGAACATCAAGCTATAATTTTTTCGCCTATAAATAAAACCAGATCATTGAACATTCATAAAGCACCGTTTTTTTAAGTATCTACTCTCAAGACAGTTTATCTTTTTGAGAAAAATATGTCCAGCTTTCTGTATCGAAAACTTCAAATTAATTTTGGCTTGAAAGGATCAAGATATTCCATGCATGAAAGGACGATTTAAAAAATAAAGATATAACTTACTGGATCTTGTTCACTCTGCGAGACACTGCTCACAATTTGAGCCACGTCCACCAATGCGTTGACAGGTAGAAGTACACTCGCTGTAACGATGCTCCTGCAAAAATCGAAATTATTGATTTTGAGATTGTGCCTTTTTAAAGGCACATTATTTTGAGAAAGTTTTGTTTACTGACTTCCCCTTCGAAGGAGCGTCGGGTATGTTGTTCAAACTAGCGTCAGCGTCTCCGTTGTAAGGATCGACATTGACAATATCCACTCTGCGTCCACCTGAAATGGCCTTCAACATTTGTTCGAATGCCGTCTGATTTCCTCTGATTTGTGCCACTGAATGAGGTAGAACAAAGCGCAATGTTCTTTCCACGGTTTCTTGAGTGTAGATTTCCACAGGTACTGTCGAGTACATGCTCGGATTTCCTATGAAAAACATGTGAATACACGTGGAATTAAAATATTTTAATGAATGAAAAAAAAAACGGGAATATGACTGATTCGGCTTCTGTAGAGTAGCTCAATTTTGTGATATCGTTTTGAATTGTATTTCACAATTTCTGAGAGTGACACTTGATTCAAAAGTGCGCAAGAAATTAAAACTGCAGCTTGTCTATTTCCTGGGATACAATTGAGACGCCATGATCTCGTTTTTACTTGGATGGCAAAACTATTTGAGGTACATGAAAAGTCTATTATTCAGTTTAACACGCTCACCTTTGTCGAAAGCTTTCACAATCAAAACAATGACGTAATTGTCATTGACTCCGCGGTTTCTTTTGGCAGCGTCGTCCGGGTTTGAATAGATCGTCAGCTGGTCGAAGATTGGGGACTCGGAACGTACATTTATTTCAGAAAGACTTTCTTCATGCATCTTCGATTTGTTGCGAGGTTTCATGATGGGGCCAGGGGAAGAAAATTGCAGCCTTAAATACTTGTTTCGAATTCGAAATTTTCAATATATCTCCCAGAGGCATTTTTCTTAAAATATGTGCATTAGCTCTGCTTAAAAACAAATGGAAAATGACGCATATTTTCAAGAAATTTTTGATAGTTTCATTGGACTCTCAGTCCAATAACCCAAGCAGCTTTTCAACGCTGACATTCCTTTCAACATGGAAGTTTGAAAGTCGTTAAATTTAACGACTTTCCGCTTTACATTTCGTATGAAAAAATATGTTTTCTTCTTTTTTTCTGGGGATCATCTTCAAAAGTCCCCTTAATGGAACCAATGGATATTACTGCAATAAAAGATCAGGAAAACATTCAGATTTCTATATATTTTTGCCCTGCGAAGCTATTTTCAAGTTTTGCATCCCATAAAAAAACATACCGATATTATTGTTCTTGCATGTTCATGAAATATTCAGAGAATTTCCCAAGAAATTTCCCCACCTGGTATTGTCTCACGATCAAACAATGGGTTCCGGGCGATTTTCAGGATCCCAGAAGATTGTTCCAAAATGAATTTATCCAAATTTGGCCCGTCAAGTCGAGTGAACAGCACTTGACCAAAAGCCGTGTCTGGAGAGTCCGCGTCTGTAGCAGAAAACTGCAGGAGACGATGAGATGAAAACTTCGCGAAAAAATTGCCCAAAAATTCCCAAAATTCGATACCGATAATTTATTTTGAAAAGAGTTTACTTGCCTGAATAATTTGAGTGCCACTTTTGGCATCCTCTGGCACCTGAGCGAAGTATCTTGTTTTCGAAAAAACCGGGGCGTTGTCGTTGACGTCTTCGATTTTTACGGTCACTTCTGTAGTGACAGTTGTTGACAATCCGTTGCCGACTCGGTAGGCAAGCAACTGAAAAAAAATGTCAAGAACATTTAAAGATAACGTATTCCGCGTCAGGTGAGAAGCATTTATGAGAAAATAATTCAGGAGAAAAATACCCACCGAGAAATGGCCGCACAAAAAAATCCATTCGCGAATCCGTGCCCGAAAAACAGATTTTTACTTATGATACAGTATTTATTTCATGTTTTTTTCATTCAATAAAATTAATTTTACACAGAGCATGAGAAAATTTTCAAGCTCGTCATGTTCTCTTCCTGTCTGATTTTTTCAGTATATTTTTTGCTGATGGGCGAAGTTTTTTTCAAATGCTATGCTGTTTAATAAATGGACGCACACCATCGATTACAAGACACACCTCTAATTTTAAGACCTCAAAAATGAAAGACAATTTTCAAAATTTGAACGATGCGAAATAATTTTCGTGATTTTCTTGTCTTCAGATTCAGCGGAATATTTATTATCAAGTTTCAGTTTCCTCTTACCAGCTTGATCTTCACTAAAAGTTGCAAAAATAAATTGACTTTTGTCGTTACAGTCCATGAACTGAAAGTTTTCGCAAAGATTTATTGAATTCAATTTGCCGAAGTATACTATTGATTATGCTGGTCAAAATCTATCATGGATTTCATTTGCGAATCTTCAGCGCCAACAATTGCAATGCAGGTATACAACTTCGTATACGCAAGACGCGCCCTAATTGTTAAATCAACATTAAAAAAAGGCTTTCTTGAACAAAAAAGTGGTTATTCCCTTCATAAATTTTTGAATAAAGAAAAAAAATCGAACCTTGAATGTGGCTTCAGTCATCTTTTCGTAGTCGAGTTTCGAGCTGTCTTTGACCCTGATTTGTATGTCTTGCATTCCCTGAGTCATTACCGTCGGACTGACTTCGAATAATCCATTGTCGTCGTCTGTAATTGCCACTTGAACCACTGATCTTCCATCCTTTCAAACAAACACAAATGTCACATTCCCCAATCAACCAGCAGTCACGACTCGATGGTCAATAAATCATTTAATTGATTAATGAACTGACTGCGTTTGGGTTGATGACGTATGGCCTCGTGTTGGTTCCTGAATACAACACCTCGGTTCCACTGGGTGAATGCTCTTTGACTGATGCGAATATTCTGTCAACAACAACAACAGAAATAATCATGTTGAAGCTTACATACATTATTTTTTTTGGCGTATAGATTGTAATTTACGATTCTGTGGAAAATGAGGGCGGATTTCTGACTCTCGCTTCGTCCATGACGAAGCCGATAGTGGTTTTGGTTGCTTGATTGGCACTGTTGAAATCCGTTTCGGACGTGATCAACTCCTCGGCTTCTATCGTCAGCATAACCACGCATTCGCTTTCGACGGCTTCCAACAGATCATCCAACTTTGCTTTCAATGTCACCGAACCTTGAAAATAATTTTCACTTCAGCGTCTTTGATCACACGTGATGATGTGAATAACTGCCAAAAAGGTTTGCTAACCATTTTTCTCTCCGATGTGGAAGAATTGAAGCCAAGGATTGTCCGGGGATTGCCACAAAGAGTACCTGATTTCCCGAGGGTTTTGGCCTAAATCTGCGTCTTTCGCCTTCACACGAACTAACTCGTCTCCCTTCGTTGGAAAAAGAATACATTCATGAATCGGGAAACGGAGCATTATTATTGCTATTACACATTAATAAAAGAACAGTAATTGGGGGAAATATTTACGGGTTTCACAGTTCCAGGGACTCGAGTCAGCGGAGGAGCGTAAGTGAAAATCGGTGGAGTATCTTGTTCGCCTTCCACTTTGATCAAAAGCTCAACAGAGACGAGATTTCTCGTGTCCAAGTCTGTTTCAACTTTTGCGTACTGAAGAATATTCATTTTATATGATTCGTAGAAAGATAAATTGAAGATACTGTTCTTTGCGTCAAATACTCACTTCACAAACCATGAACATGTGGTACAGGTTCTCCTTTTCGTAGTCTAATGGAGCATTCAGTTTCAAGGTGATGTCCAAATTTTGTTCCGGCAAGGGACTTCTGTCCATTTTGAAGGAATTGTCCCCTCCCTGATTTTATCAAAACATAAATCAATCAATGAGGTTTTTTCTTTAGTAAAAGAAGGTAAAAAATTCCATAGTGGCGTTATCAGGTGTGCGGAATTTTTTCCTATAAAATAAGTAGTTACTAAAAAACATCGTTGGCGCGTCTTGGGACGCGCCTGCAGCTGTTCGAAAAGGACCCTTCAACAGGGCTTCAAAACAAAAATTATAGCAAACTTGACAAACCGTCAAGAATATCAAAAAACACAAGCCCATCTCTGGGGAAACAACTTCAACTGAGAGTCAAATGACCCCTCATTCCCCACTTTCAAGAAGATTGAATATCCCGAAAGGACGCCCCAAACTTTGCCAGCTGCTGGCCCCCAGTCGTACCCGCCTGTATCTGGATACCTACTCTCTTTATTGTTGTGTTTAGCGTCAACCGCTGTCGAAAAACCATGTCCCCCCTGTCACTTGAACAATTTGTCTTCATCCCCAAAGACCATGCGCAGCCTTATAAAAATTACTGAAGTTGAAAAACACCCGGTTTTTGGAAAAATTTTACACACCAAATTTTTTGTCTTGAAAAACACCAACATCTTGTGTTTTTCTGTGCTTCACACCCAGCTGCTGGGATACTCTGCAGGTATTATGCTCCCCCGCCCCTTCTTCAGCATAAAAACCCCTGATTTTTTGGCTGAAGACACAGTCCAAATTTTGCGTGCAAAGCGTTACGTTGTGTTCTCAAAATTTGTATTTGCTGAAATATTTACAAGTCCGCGAAAACTGTTGTGCATATTTTCCTGTCAAAACTGTTGTGCATATTTATCCTGTTATACTTACCTGTCGATTTGAACAAAGGCTTGCGCTGTTTGGGAGAGAATCCCTGGTCGGTTCACGCACCGGCCAATTGCTGTGTTGAATTCATTTTCATCATTTGTACTTTTCCTCAGAAAATCCTATTTCTATTTACTGACCTGTAAGTACTAAATTAATTCTTGTCAACTTAATTATTCAAAATAAATACTTGCAAGGTGTACGGCTTGCTTCAGATTCTCTCTCTTCTCGAATAAAACCGTACATCAGGACCAACGTTTTCTTCTTATTTATTTTATTTTTTTTACTTCGGTGCAACGTTCCGTTTCGCGTTTGGGCAACTAAACGTGAATTTGGAACCATATTTCATCAGGTTAGAGAGTGAGATGAATCTTCCTTTTCTTCTATGGTAAAGTGATCATGTTCAGGCAAAAGTTTCCAAGAAATTTAATTAACTGCGCCTTCGGAATAGCAAGCTTGTTTGCTAAGTGCAGTACCAGAGAAAGCGCGCAGTTCCCAATATATCAATAGAATCAATAATCAGGAATCTGATGAAATGCCAGAATAAAATTGAATGACTACATGAAAACATGACTGCACAGTTTTACTCTTTTTCGGAATTATAAAAAAACACAATAAACTTTTAGTCGCACTTACTCGTAGCTCGCAAGTTGGCAAACGATTCTGGCCCTTGTCTCTGTTCACCCGAATGACCCTTAGAGTCGAATCCGCTGAAGCACTCTGTTGAAACAGAAGAGAAAATAGAGAAGCATTTTACTGGCGCCATTTTTGTTGGTCGCTTCAAGGATGGTGTCGAAAATCCTTCCAGCCTCGACAGGCTTAATGAGGTATATTTCCGCATAACATACGGTACTTCCTGCATCACAGGGCAAAGCTCGAATCCGGAAAGCATTCACTGCTCCTGCCCCTGGAAATATGAGTTTTCGAGGGAAATAAGGAGTGAAAATGCTTTCGAATCCCCTTTGAATTATTGAATGAAATATAGCGTCCAAAATCAACGATATATTGCAGCCGAAGGGATTTCAAGGAAGAAAAATTGGGTTTTAGCGGAAATAATTTACGAAAGTTGAAAGATGGTTTGAATTGCTCTTAAAACCGCAGAAGGAATTAAATTTACTGCCAGTCCTCAAGAAAGTTTCCGGGATAGAATTGCTATGAAGACTTCGAGAAATTTTCGAGGATTTAATTTTCAGACAGCTTTTTGGTTAAGCTACGGTTCAAAAATTACAACTGTCGTTTCCGATAGTGTTCGGCGAATTTTGTTCTATTTTTACAAGCTCACGAGTTGGAATAATTTCTAGCACACTAGCTAGCTTGATTTGAATATTGCACATTGCTCATACGGTTAGGAAACTTTTTGTCATGGTTTCACGGAAAATAGTCCGGGTAATATAAAAATAGAGAAACGTGTGGGGCAGAACTTTTCTATTATGCTATACTGTGTTTAATATAAAAAAAAAACACGCGCGACTGACACCTGGAAGCTTGAGATCATTTTCAAATAATATTCTAGTCTATTCAAAATTTTGAGAGATTTTTGATACACACATGTGGTTGAGATTCGTTCTTCTAATGCAAATTTTGGAATTTTGAGTCGGCATCCCTGCAGCAGGAATCACCAACTAGATTTTTCCTGAAATCGCATGGGATTTTTGACTCATTCTCATACCATTCAATTTTCTGTTTCAGAAATGTTTACTGTTCTCAATATGTCCTGTTGATCCCAAATTTTGCAAACACATCAACGTACAATACAAGTTGCTGAGAGAGAATAAAACTGATAACTGACAAGGTTAATCATACCAACGAATCAGATTTTTAAACGACAGCTTTCCTTCAACGGTTATATTGGGCTAAGGTAAATTCTTTCATTAGTATGATTCCTAAAAATTATCAAGTCTGCAACACGAATTTCAGTTTTTTCTCAATATTTTCATGAATCTAATGGAAATTATTCACCAGGGATTGAGCTTCATTTCGAAGCGGTAAAAACATGTTAGCTTAAGCTGTTCACAGCAAGAGACCGATTTTGAAAATTGATTCACTTTGACATTTTTGTAAACAAAATATCGAAAAAACAAAGGATATTTTGACGAACCTGGAAAATTTGAAAGAACTTATTGTACAACACAAGTTGGCTCTCTTCGTCACAATGAAATTCAGGGGACCAGAAAAATTCATTGTAGAGAGGAATTTATTGCTTAGAACCCATATACAGAACCTGCATCGAATTGTCAAAACCCCTTATGGAACCCAAACAATTTTTTTTCTCAGAGAAAATCGTTTAGATTTAATCGTTGTTCAGAGAGTCTGCCTGTTATATAGCGGGGTTTCAGCCATGTCAAAGGCATGGCAATTGGCTAATCATCAGAGGAAGTCATATTGAAATGCTGCCATGCCTTAATTAAAGGATTACGACTTTCAAAAAATAAAATGGCGACAAGTTCGTCGTCTCTGTGTCCAAATTAATACCTAGGAGAGTGAAGCGCAGGGGAGTAGCTTGATCGTAGTCATACACCAGCAGTCTATAGACGGGTGTCCCATTGGGCTGAAACACTGGCACAGAAGCTGGAAGCAGGATCGTTCTTTTGTATCCTCGTCCACTTGAATCGAATTGCGGTGGTCTGGATTGGGCATGAATCGGATTCCAAACCCACGACAGGAACACTGATTGGGCTGAAACACTGGCACAGAAGCTGGAAGCAGGATCGTTCTTTTGTATCCTCGTCCACTTGAATCGAATTGCGGTGGTCTGGATTGGGCATGAATCGGATTCCAAACCCATGACAGGAACACTGCTAAAAACGTCGCGAGCATCGCAGATCCACCCGCACATTTCACGCCGATTTTCGAAAAACAGTAGTGGCAGCATTAGCGCAAAGCGTCCTACAACACCCGTTAGCTGTTGCGTCTTTTGCAGTCGGGTATTAAGTTAAGCACTGATTAAGACAACAACAAGAAGTGTTAGGCATTGTGACTACGAGAAATAGAAGAAGAGGGCCCTGGAAAATAAATCGGCAGAATTATTTGCAGGGATCGAGAAGAATAAAGCACTCGATCACATAATCTTCTCATAATAATATTCCAAGAGTTTCTATAGGTCTTCTAAATGAATTATATAAGAATACTCTGTCTTTCCAACCTATAAAGATTAGTGAAACAACAATCACTTACGAATCTCAATGCCAAAATGCGTTGAAATTTTGACTTATGGTTTGTATAACATTTGGAGGCATTATTCATGCAAAAATTTGAGACACAGGCATGTTAAGCTTCGATTGAGTTGCTCAGCATTCAAAACTTTGCCACTTTTGCCATTTCGAATGCATGACATTTTCCAGTTCCTTCTGTTAAGGACAGAATAAAGCCAAAAATTAGGTATTTTAGAATAAATATTGAAGAAATGCATCTCTTATCCAAGGGGGAACTGCACGACTATGTGATTCTACTTCGAAAATATTACTGAACGATCTCGGGAATACTACCGAAAATTAGTGAACTCAATTAAAGCATGAAGGATCCAATTCCGAATTAATTTGCAAAATGCTCGTCGCGAAATTTAAGGATTGCTAGCAATAACGTTTGAAAAATGGCGAAAGAATAAACCATTCTCGCATATTCCAGAATCACCAGCGGCGGGTCGAAGGGAGAAACAAAGAATAAGACAAGGGGAGACATTTCGCGTCGCACTTTTGCGTCGAGCTCCGAGAATGGCGTGCAAATAATTCTGCGCTCTCCCTCGACGATGCCGAAGGGTCGGCCTTGCTGACTTCCTTGCTGGCCTATCGATCACTGCCTGCTCTATTGCTGTAATTCCCGTCCCGCTTCCGTGCGTCACAAAAGTAAATTTTTACTGAACGTCGGATCATCCTTTTATGTGTTCTTTCTTGTTTTTGTTTTTGTTTTTCATTCTTTGGAGGACTACGTGTTTTTGCTTGTCTGAGGTAATTTTCGCACAGATATGGATTTTGGTAGGCTTGCTTGATTACTGGCTTCATGCTTAATACATATTTTTTATTCAGTTTTTAGCNGTTGACTTAGGCCAACTCTTTCTTTGAGAAGGTTGAAGGCGTAAAGGAAAAGGTTGTCCTAGTTCTACAAGTCTTGAAATGATTCTGAATACTGTAGTCATGAAAATGGGTCTTTTTTGGGAGTAAAATGCTGCTTCATTGCGTATTTTTTCTTACAACTTTTTGTTACCTTGTTGAAGAAATATATGATGATTCTGACAACAGAAATATGCTGGTGGTTACCTGTCACAATTTCAAACGAACTTGCCGGGATAAAGTGTAAAGCAGTTTGCGCTTCTAATGGTTCATCTAAGATTTCTTGAATATCTAGTGTTTTCATTCTTATCCTATGATGTCACCAGAATTGCTCAAAATAAATACAACCACGTTGGACGTCTCCTTGGCAGAGCAATTTCCTTTGTTCTGTAATTACCAGTTAGGACAACGCAGGCCAAGAAGTAATAACTTTTATGGCTGAATGTGAAAATGATACAACTTCTCATTTCTCAAGTGCAAATATATGCAGTTCCCAAATCCAATGTAAGCAAGTTGAATCAGACCAACAATGAATGATGGAGGATTGCTGTGACTATCCTTTATAGACTTTAAGTATCAGACAAGAGAGGTACATGACCAGGCATACACATAAATTGAACTAGGGTGGTCAAATGGCAAACAACTGGTAACCAGACACAATCTATTGAGCAAAAATGTTTGTAACCAGGCTTACAGAAGCACAGCAGGTAAAAGCACAACCAAAATGGGGTAATGTTAGCATATCTCAGGACACACTCAAATGTTAGGATGACATACTTAAAATAAGGAATTTTAATTTTTATAGCAACATGCCCTCAGATTTTGGAACAAAAACCTTTAACCTGCCGCATACAAAAGGATTTTTTCTCCATTTCACCGAAGTTCTTGATGTTGAGAGAAAAATTTCATATGACTTTAAAATACATGACACTGGTGTTCCTTATTTTCAGACAACAGGCCTGACAAAGTGACACAGTTTATCAGTACAGCACTTGTATGTACTGTAATTCCTTTTAATTTTTTTAAATTAGCGTGGATATTTAGGTACACCTAAGGGGGGAAATGTTCCAGTAAAATTTAAAGCACTGTAAACAAACCACTTACTGTGAATGAATTTGAATATTACAATGTGAATGGAACGACTTTTTCCCAATCATAATCAGAGCCCTCATGAAGATATTTCTGCGACATCGTCATTTATTCGACATTTTTCACTCATTATGGGATAATCTGTGGTGTTTATTTTCTTCAATCTGCAGCGGATTGAACTTTTCGGATGGTTTTCATTTTAAATTTGGATTTTGAACTCTCATCCGTGATTAACACAAACGTTTCCCTCACTGGCTTGCCTGAACCCGACTGGTCTTAGCTGCCAAAGTTGGCCCCAGGGAAACGAGTCGGAACTGAACTTCGCGGGTTCCGCGAAAAACCCACTCGCGGTCTTTCATATTTCGTCAACA